CTGTTTTATGGGAAGTACCCAGAGATTCCAGAGACCTCCTGGCTGCTATTGAGGATATCGTAGTATTTCTCAACTATCTTCAAAAGTGCTATCGGGACCTCAATCAAGGAGCGACGGCGCAGCTCCTGGTAATGTGTAATCGCACGGCAGTACACACACAACTTCTGCAGCATGGCTTCCAGGCTGCTTGGTTTGGTGGTCTGCGGATCGCCACAACCTCGTCAGCAGCAGGGGCCACTGCGCGAATAGCAGTTGTGGTCCAGACAGGATGTGGTTTCCTCAGTGGGGGCCGTCGAGGGGTAACGGTAGAAGACAAAGAGGATTGCTTTGGACGAGCCACTGTCGCGTTCACTAGAGCCATTCAGCATACATACATCGTCTCCCCCATTGATATGGCTGGGCTGATTGGGATGGCGCAGACGCTTGCGGTATATCATTACGGGTATTATACCCTTAAAGATCGCACTGTCCAGTTCCATGAGCCCAAGCACGTGCCATCGGATGCAGAAGCGGTCCTTGAGTGGGGCCTAAATACACCGTTTAATTCCCAAGACAAACCGCCTCTTGCCATAGCTATGGTAGTGACCGTGAATGGCGTGCGATCCCTTAAAAGGTTTCGATTGGTCATTGCACAGAAGTCAAAGCTGCGGCTCACGCAGGAAGTCATTGCAGCGCTAGCCTCCCACAGTCGTGACCACCGCCTCACGGCGAGCAGTTTCTTTCCGTGCTCCATAGAAAGGGAATTTAATACCTGTATGGCTATGCCGGCGATGGATATCGTTCTCCACTTTGGTTGTGTGCTTCCCACAATGGCTCCCCTGTTTGGGTACACAGGCTCAGAGGAAGCAAGATGTATTTTCATCAAGCCACCAAAGATCGGCGAATATTGCTCATCCCAGGCATCCACTATTTTGACGCGCACCGACTGCAACCACTGCTATTACAAGCTCCTGCACTGCAAGTGCATATGAGAGAGAGCCCTCTGGTAGGCCCGGAAGGGGCTGGCGAGACAGTGGACGATCCCTCGTCGGAAGAAGAACAAGCCACCACTGCAAGTGAAACTGAGGCAGATAATGTGTGTGTGAAGCGTGGGAGATGTAAATAAGGAGCCGGAGGAGGAGAGGCGCGCAGTGAGAAAGAGTGTAAGAAGGAACCTGCCGAGCAGTACAGCTGGGCGACATAGGGGAATATGAGAGGACGAAAAGGGAAGAAGATAAGAAAAAACAGGGGGGGAAAAGGAGCGATACAGAGGGGAGGAAATAGATATGAAACAAAGGATTAAAAGTATAAAGAACAGGAGGTTTACCGGAAGGTCGCAGGCAATTGAAATCCGTTTTTACACGAGAACAGATGGGGCGGGTAGGAGTACGGGAGTCATGGCAGTTAGATAATAAAAATCAAAGGTGCAAGAAGGTTAGACAGGGCCTAAGGGAAGAGACACAGTGGGGTTGAAAACAGGAGATTAGACGGTGAGGTGAAGTCATGAGGAGTGAAGATGATGACGAGGATACACCTCCAGAGGAACCATGGGGCCCGCCAATCCCACCGGCCATGGATGATCCTACGGAACAGGAAATCAAAGGTGCTGCGGACAAGTTGGCCACTATGATGAACAGTTCACAGCCTCACGCTAGTGTTTTCTATCAACCTGACAACCTTGGTGCTCTTCCACACCTGTGGCTGCAAGCTAAGCTTACTATTTCCCTGACCTCAATGCAGGAAAAGTTTGCCCGCCTTTTCATGTCAATTGCGTCAGAACTGTGGCTGCGGGGTGTGATTGAGACTGTTGAGGAGGTCTTTGCACATGCTGCCCGTAGTTTCACCCTCCGGCTGGCCGAAACACTTTCGCAGTACATCTGCTCTCTCACTCGAAGAGCAGAGTCCCTGGCTACCCCAGAGACGGAATGCCTGCTATATGCCACTTTTTGGTTTCGTCCAATCCTCTCTGAGCTCATTGTGGCAGCCAGAGAGAGTGCAGAGGTGAACCGAAAACGTGCCCCCAGTGGCCCTGTGAAAGTTGTCGTCACGAACCAGCCTCACTCGCGGCGTCACACTGGGGTCGACCTGGTTAGTGGGACTACGGCCTTACTGGCGTGGTTTCCGGCGAGCTGGGCCAGCAAGATTGCGCCATGTTTCTTAGGGGAAGCTGGCGGTAACACCCAAGCCCCACAGGAGGTGTCCTTCTCCTGTCCCCATCGAGTATTTGAGGGGTTGCAGAGAGAAGCGGCTGATCAAGTCTTGCAGGCAGTTAAATTTACTGACAAAAATGCTCCAGGATTGAGCCTGGCCTTGGATGAGGAATTTCAAGCAGCTGACTGCTTTTCAGAACTCACCCGAGGATACACACAAGGGGTAGTTGACCCCTATATAATGATGGGCCTGCAACCCACTGGACCCACCAGAGTCAACCTGGAAGTAATTGTACCATCCCCCAAAGGACTGACGCCTGAAACGTGGAAGCAGACAGCCACTTTGTGCCCGCTTGAGTGGCCGTCCAACTATAGCCTTCTGAGATTGCGGCACACGCCCAAAAGTTTCCACCAATATGCTGCACAACTCAAGCAACAAGTGCAGCATCAACATATGTTCACTCACTGGGAAGTCAACCGCGCTAAGCTAGCAAGCAGAGTGGTGTTCCAACGACCAGCTTATTATCTACCGGAAACGGTTCTGCAACAGCACGTGCGAGAGCGCGTCTTCCCTGATCGGAAACTACGCAGAAGAGCACCAGATAATGACGTTGCTGCTTTTGAAACTAAATGCAACGAACTACGTCGCTTGGCTGCAATGAATGAAACGGAGAACCCTGTCTCCTTTGCCATTGGGAATAGCTGGAACGACACTCTCAGAGCAGACAAACACCACCACCTTGAATACACTACACGGAGTCAGACATAGCCTCCTTTCTTCCTCCTCCTCCACTGGCTCCTGGGTCGCACCCTTCATATCACTTCATCGTTTTTCTGGCCTGATGCAGTTTCTCTTTTGGCCCCCCTTGCTGTGGTTGGGTGGGGCCCTTTTTGCCCCGGTAGGGACCTTCCCGTGGCTCCTCCGTATCCGGTAAGTCTCTTACCTGTTTTGTTCACTTGGGTTCGTCATTATCACTGGCGTATCTGTCCATAGACGTGACAGGTGCACTGGTGCCCCATCCTCCCAAGTGTATGTTTTGGGCTTAGGTTTTGTTTGATTTGTACTTGTGTGTCTGTCCGTAGACGTGGCAGGTGCACTCGTACTCCACTAATTCATTTCGGTGCTTCTTTCCTTCCTGTATTGCTGCACGCCCCTCTTCCTTGTTTTGTCTTCTTGCCTTTCTTTGGTCAAGCGCACCTTGCTCCTCACATGTATCGTCTGTGCTGCCCTCTTTCTCTTTGGTTGTCTTGTGGTTCCTTGCATGTGTTGCCCTTTGTGGCTCGTGGGTTGGTGCTGGTTTTGTTTTCCTGCTGTTTCGCCTTGTCGTCTTTCTGGTTCTTTTGCTCTCCTCGCTGTGCCTGTGTGGGCCCTGTTGCTTCCTTTGTTGTCTGCCCTCCTGTTTTGTGGTTCCTTTCGCTGTCCTGCCTGCCTTCCCTCCCCTGCGAGTTGTCTGGTTTGTGCTCTGGTCCAGCTTACACCCTGGTGTGCTGGTGCCTCCCTCTGGGTATCTGGTTGCATCTGTGACGGCTCAGTTGCCCTGCTTTTACGCTAGGAGTATGGTTGAGCTTTGCTTTCCTTCCGTCATGCGTTTCATGGCAACAAAGGCTTCTGGCCCTGTGTGGGGTTTTCACCCTCTACACCATGTCACTGGTGACGTCAGGGAGCTTAGTTTGGCCATACTGAGGTATTCATCGTGATGGTGATCCAGTTCCCATATTAGACTCCGCTAAGCTGCACTATTGCTATTCTAATGTGATTGATGCAGCCTTCTCCGCCCCTGTCCTCCTCTGCCTCCCCGGCGCCCCCTCCTGTCTGGTTGCCGCTTGGTCTTGTTGTCCGGTTGTGCTCTTACTGTGCCTTCCCTTTGCCTGTCTGTGTCTCTGGTGGACCTTGCGTGCTTCCTCTGCTTATCTACTCTCCCCTGCTCTCACTTAGGACCGAATGAATGGCGATTGGTTTGAATGTACGAACACTGGTGATCTGGTTGATTCTTGTTTGGTTTTGTTTTTTTGTACTGACTGGAGCGACACTGACACAGCACTCGTGTGAACCACTAAGGTGACTCAGGACAGCCGTATTGCCTGGTGCCCGTAAAGGCCATCTCTTTGCTCTGCCTTTCTTGCTGGCTTGACTTTCTTCTTCTTGAGGGGCTGCTTTCTTACTCGACTCTAATTCGTTTGCTTTCTTTGGGTCCCTGGGTATGTCCCCCGTCTGGGTACTCTCCTCGGTAGCTGAATCCAACCACTGGGGGCGGTAGTTAGCCGGCCGATGCCATGGACCGGACTGTGCTGCAGTGAGCTTCACCGGTGCATTCCGGTGTTCCTCCCTGTAGGACAGCCTGGGGCGCCCGCGAGCAGCACAAGACTGCCAACATGGTTCGTCAATTGATTGAAAGATGTGGTAATTCTGCAGCCTGTCTACTCTATGGGTGAGTGGCACTACAGCCGTAGTTTCGCTACGATCTTCGTCGGTACGTACTGCAATGCACTGCGGGTCCTTCAGGGACGATGACATCCTGAAATGTCCTGAACAGTTCTGTAGTCTGTACTTTAGGGTGGCCGGGCACTTAGCTACTTATAAGTAACTTATAAGTATAGTTAGCGAGGCTTAAGTTAAGGTTTAAGTGGATAACTAAGTTATAAGTAGGGTTAATTTTTGGGCTAGTTATAAGTTAGTTAATGACTTATTAGGTACTTAAGGCCGACCATGTTAAAAAGTTAAACGGTACTTAACATAGTTAACCTCATGTTGCTTTTTCGATAGTTTTTTTGTTCTCATTTTTACCTTGTTGTTTTTTGTTATATATTTTGGAAAAATTAAGTTTTCCCAGCTATCTCTTCTTGTTGATTTTTGTGATGTTCAAAGCAATCATGGCTCAAGTGGAGAAACAGATCGTAGCCGCGCAGAAATTTTTGCAGAATGTGGTTGCGTTACCTACTTTTGATGACTTGCGTGGCAAGCAATTGAAGCGCTTGATAGCGTTTCTTGGCAAGAATGTGCTGAGTGTTGAGCAGTCCGCAGCTTTGATGCCAATCCTGGATTGCAATGTCTGGGGTTTGCACATGGAGGAGTTGAAAACTTGTATTGCTCAGCAAACCTGTGATGAGAATGACGAAACCACAGCTGCTTCGCGTGCAGCGCTCCAGGATTTCACCAACATTCCACATTATTTGAGCCAAGACTGGTGGAATTTGCTTGAAAGTGGAAAGGATAAGGTGAGAAATTTGGAGTCGCTGTGCGGCTTAGCTGCTTCGCTGGGCTTGAGGAATGCGTCCGAACCAACGTACGCAGGTTTATGTGCGTTGGCCTTTTGTGTGGGTGGCATGCAGTTGCTGGAAGAAGACAAGTTGAAGCTGCTGACTTTGCATAAGTCACGTATGAAAAAGGTATTCAGTAACGCAGTGCCGTTGGCTTCTGTCATGGATGTCTTGCCAAGTTCACCTGAAGATTGTTCAAAGCAATTTTTGAACGCGGCATATCCAAACGGATTTGTTGCAGGGACTCCAGTGACAAAGTCAATGGATTATATCTGTCGGCTGGTTGCCACGTATCCGTGTCACTGCTGTGAAAAAAAGCCGGCTCGCAAAGGGCCGGTTCATCGAAAGCCTGCTTCTCACTCTAGTCAGGGAATGAAGCGTCCCGCAGCAGCTCAGACTGCTGACTACGATGAGAAGCGACGGCGGGTTTTGAAATTGGTGCCAGCTGCGGTTTTGTCGCGTTTCAAGGGCGGCTGCTCTCGATGCTATCACAGGGAATACTGCACAGTGAGTTGCTGGGCTCGCCGCGGCTACAGTTTGTAAGGTGACGGCTGTGCACACTGGCCTTTGGGAAAAAATCACCTCGAGCCTTTGCATTGGATTGGTTCCGGAATCAATTGGCTTGATGTTGTTTGGGACTGTTTACATTCCGCACATTTCTGATGTCCTGTGTGTTTTTTGTTTTCATATATAGGCTCAAGCCGCGTCGGTTGCTGCGCCCCTGGGTGCATGCGTCACTCCGCAGGCGGGGTTGTAATGGAACCAAGGGGTTGCGGGATTCTATATATTTAGGTGGTCCTACTATGCATATATATATATATGATTTATTAAATATGTGTATACATATAGAACGATACATGCGTATATCTATTGCTACACTGCGACTGGGGACATCTGAACCTCAGCGGAATGGCGGGGTGCGTCACCTGCGTGATGGCACTTTCAACTCACTTGCTTCTCAGTGAGTTGCTTCACCTGCGTGGTGGGGCGTGCCACCTGCGTGGTGGCACTTTCACCGTACCTGCGTGGTGCGTTGCCTCACCTGCGTGGTGGGGCGTGTCACCTGCGTGGTGGCACTTTCAACGCACCTGCGTGGTGTGTTGCCTCACCTGCGTGGTGGGGCGTGTCACCCGCGTGGTGGCACTTTCAACGCACCTGCGTGGTGTGTTGCCTCACCTGCGTGGTGGGGCGTGTCACCTGCGTGGTGGCACTTTCAACGCACCTGCGTGGTGCGTTGCCTCACCTGCGTGGTGGGGCGTGTCACCTGCGTGGTGGCACTTTCAACGCACCTGCGTGGTGCGTTGCCTTACCTGCGTGGTGAGGCGCGTCACCTCTGTGGTGGCACTATATCAACTCGTGGACATGGCGAGTCTGCGATGTTGCCGGTATATGTGGGTGTAGGTTATATAAACTTGTATGCAGAGAAGCACACACGCAAGTACTATGCATTACATATATGTACATTGAATGTATATATATATATGTGTATATATATATATATGTATATAGATTGATATATAAATTATATATATATATATATATATTATAATATGAACATATTTTTTGTCTTTGCTCCGCAGGTCGCATGACTAGCGAGTCGGAGGAGGAGGACACCGAGGAGGAAGTGAAATTAGAAGAGAAGGCAGACGACCAAGGGGTTGAAGGGCCTGCGCCAGCAGCAGGAGAGATTGCCCCGGAGGCGTCCCGTGACAAGAACAAGGAGAAAGACAAGAAGGCGAAGTCCAGTGACAAGAAGGAGGCCGAAAAGAAGTCCAAGGAGAAGAAGGCGGAACGGTCCCCTTCCCACAGGAAGTCCAAGAAGGCTTCCCGCTCTCGTTCGCACAAGAAGTCCAAGGAGAAGAAGGCAACCCGCTCCCGTTCTCACAGGGATCGTGGCAGACGTCGATCCCGACGACGGGAGTCAGGACGCGACCGCGCGACGGTTCGCAGAGGCAAGCAAGAGGAAGATCAGGCAATTGGTCACGAGGCAGTGGATCGGACCAAACCGCCTCCCGAGCCTGACCAACCTCCCAAAATGCCTGGAACTTCCGCTCGCCCAGCCTCGAAAGGGAAAGGCAAGGAGGGGAAACCCAAACGGTGGGTTTGTAGAGATTGTGGGGGTAGAACAGCCCCATATGAATCCGCTATGGAGCAACATCGTTGGAGCAACGAACAGTGTCTCACGTGGCAGCGCTGGAATCAGCTCTCAAAAGTTCAGCAGACGAAGGCCGCGTGGGATGCCTGCTGCCAGGATGCTCAACGTCTGCGACTCACGCGTCGCACAGACGCGCCCGAAGTTGCTCCAGCAAATCGCAGCGCTTCCCCACAGACAGTTGCCTCCTCCAAGAGCCGTGGTCAGAAGCCGGCTACTGCGGCGTCACCGGTTGTTGCTGCGAGCAACGCTGAGAAGAAGAAGGTGAAGAAGCACCGCGAGCGATCTGAGGAGTCTAGCTCAGGTGCCACGCCTGTGCGGCGCAGACGCCATCGTCGGAGGGAATCCTCTTCGTCGCATGGGCACCGTGAGCGCCGTGACGGCCGGAAGCGCAATCATGTGGTGATTGATATCGCCTAGCTCTGCCTTGGACAATAGAAATACGCTGGCCCAGCGACCGTCGGAGGAAAAAAGGAGTTTTGGGAACGGGGGTGCTGTAATTTTTGTTTTCTTCGGGGGGAAGTTTAAGATATGCAACATGCATGGAACACTATATAGAAAACACTTAGTAGAATGTCCTTGAAAAACCACTTCTTCCGATCGCAGTTTCAGTGCTCAGATCCGTGGTCGAGATCCTTTGGGTCCGTCTGATGCGCCGTGATTGCAATTTCACCGTGGAGGTGAACAAGGTGGAGTCTCTGCGCAGCTTCTTGGAAGAAGTGGCGCAGCAGTATGTGCCTGGACGCTGGTGTCCTAAAATCCCTGAAGATTGGACAGACGTGTGGGTAAGCACCCGGCATTGCCTCGATATGGCACAGGCCAGGGCCTATGAGCTCAAACTGTGCCAAGAAGAGGAATCGCTGGCGAAGCTGAAGCGGTTGCTCCTGGTTGCGACTGCGCAAGATGTCCGCACCGTGTGTGTGGATGAGGGCGGCAGCATGCACGTTCGCTGTGCGACTGAGATATATGAACCACAGGAGTGGAGCAACTTCGAAGCACGGGTGGGCTCGTATCATGCGGACGAGTTGCATGCTGCCGCGATAGATTTGGGGCGCTTGCAGTCTCTTCTCAACACGGACAAGTGGTTGGAAGAAGTGCAATGGATCAAGTTGGCCGTGACGCATCTGCAGTTTATGTATTTTGAGTTCCGGCGCTCGCCCTGAGGTTTTTTATAGATCCGTTTCACACAACTGGATTCCCTTAGCCTGGGGTGGGAAAAGCTGCTTGTCCGCGGGGCGTCCGCGGATGTCCGCGGATGTCCGCGGCCGCAGTGATGGTGTCGGGGATAGGTCATTGTCCGCGGTGTCCGCGGAAATTAGTTTAATTAACATGTGTTTTTTTTTGCACTAAGAACCGGTAGGTCAGGTGATATCCGCGGTGTCCGCGGTCTACAGAGCATCGTTTCCTCGATGTTCCCGTGTCCGCGGAGAGGTAGGTCTCTGACTGCAAATCTGTGGCTTTTCCAGAGTGTTTGATAGTCGCTGTAGATTAGCCGGAGCGTCTTGTACAGCTGCCTTGGACCATGGAACCTTCCGCAACTGCTGTGGTCGCTGCTGCTGCAGAGAATGACCAAAGGCTCTGTAAGACCTGCCAGATGGAATTCAAGGTGACTGAAGGACGTCAGCATGGTTCAGCCTTCGAATGCACCACCTGCAGTTCCGCAGACAGGTTGTTGAGGAGACAACTGGGAGATAAGTCGCAGCTCCAAAAACTGTCGAAGGACGAACAGGTGGCATTCTTCAAGCAGCTCCATGCGGAGAAAGAAAAAAGAGATGGAAAGCTCAACTGGGAAACGGTGAAAGCTCAGTTGATCACTTCGTTAACGACAAAGCAGATTACGGAGAACTCCACCAATGTCAACACAAAATTTCTCCCACTTGGCGTTTATCTCAATAAGGGCTGGCCAAAAGAAGTGGTGGAAGCGTGCCCATCAGAATATTCTGACACCTATGGTTGCTGGACCTACAAAGTTCCTGTGAAGTCCCAGGATTGGAAGGTCGTTAGCCAGGAGATCAGGGAGCGCATCCTTGTGCAGGAGCGGCAAGCTACTGCAGTGCGAGGCAAGAAAAAAGCCAAGGGCAAAGATGGCGAGGAAGATGATGGGGAGCTGGATTTGCCTGCGGCTGCATCTTCGTCTGGAAAGAAAGATGCGAATCCCGAGGCGGAAGAAAAGAAGGCGGCAAAGCAGCAGGCAAGCACCGAGAAGAAGAACAAAGCATTCAACCAGAAGGTGCAAATTCTTGCAGCGAAGAATGTGGGCATCCTGAGCCAGGACCTAGCAGCATTGGACAAGCTGATGGGCCGCGTGCCCGCACACGAGTTGGATGGCCAGGTGCTCGAACTGTGTCAGAAGACGCAGGCCAAGTTGAAAGAATGGATTGCTGCTGCGAAGTTGACGTTGCAGGAAGCTGATCATGCCCAGGCGCAGTCCGGCGAAGAGAAGCTGAAAGAGTTGCCGTTCGAAGCTGGAGATGTCAAAACGCAGCATCTCAGCGTAGGTGAAATTTTGAAAACTCTCCGTAAATCTTTGCCGGTCCCCAAGGCAAAGGCTGCGGGTAAGGCCAAAGCAGCTGCGGCTGCGCCTGCAGGAGAGACGGCTGATGAGAATGACAACACAGAGAATAAGCCAAAGCGCAGGCGCTGCAAGCAATCTCCCTGAGGCTCAGTGACTGGAGTTTTCCGCCGCACAGCCGACATAGAATGTTGCCTGGCGCAACGATGGTCGTTCCACACCAGTGGAACATTTTGAAGTATCTGCAATGCAACCCATGGATCCGAATCGGATGGTCGTGGCACAGCTGAAAAGAGAATCTTCCGTGCAGCCGTCAGCTTTGTTTCTTCTTTGACCACAAAAGTATACCCAGATACATTTTGTAACGATTTATATACTGAAGACCGTGTCAGCTTCCATTTTTTTTTCGAATGTACATGTCACATATAGTCATGAATTCTGACTCAAGCAACTATAAGCCATTTTTGGTCCCGAAGCTATATGTAAATATATATATATATTTATATATATATATATATCTATATTGTATGTTATAACGATCCGAAGAATCCAAACATGAAACATCCCATACCATACAGTCGCTGTCACATCGATTCTTCGCAGTTTTTTCTTTGTGGCCCAAAAACAGAGCCGTGCAAAACGGTATAGAACGAAATGACTGCCGCAGACAAGCTTGTCGCTGACGATTGGGCAGAGCCATTCCATGTGAGGTATGGCAAACATGACTTGGGCTTGCACTTGGACGTGCGTCTGTGCCTGCTGCGTGCTTCTCAGTCGCACCAAACCCGCGTGGTTTATGTGTCTGAGACTGAAGACAGTACAGCAGATCAGAGCACGCCTGTGAAGAATGGGAAGCGCGAAGCATTTCAAGTGCAAAGTGAGTGCTGGGCCCCGAAACGCCGGCGTCGCTAATGCAACGAAGCACGCAGAAGAAAAGGACTGCTGCAGCGTGTGAAAGGTAGCCTAGAACTTGCATAGAAACATTGCCATTCCTGATCGCAGCCCTTTTTTGGTTTTGAGCATGAAGAAACGTAGACTGTGCCCAGACGATAGCCTCCTAGACCAGTATCGCTGCTTGCGACAAATCCCACAGTTGTCGCATGCTGATTGCCGAAAAGTTTTGGAACTGTTGAATGATGATAAAGAACATAAGGGTTCCTTCACAGCCAGCAAAGTCCACCAGAAATTTCCGGTGACCTTACCGGCTATGCGTGAACTGGTGGTACGAGATGGCAAGGAAAGATGTGTCTTTCATGCATTCTCGCTACCCGAGTGTCTCCAGAACAAAGTGAATGCCTGCCCTGCGTTTGCAGAGTGTTTCGACATCGCTCTTGCAGCTGCTCATAATTCGTTAGAGCTTGTCATGTTCTGGGATGAAGCCGTTCCCGGCAACGTGCTAGCACCAGATCTGCGGCGCAAGGCAGCCTTATGTTACTGTTCCATTCAGGAGCTACCTGTTCGCTTTGCAGACACATGCTGGCTGACTCTAGCCGTTTGCCGATCGCAAGAACTACAAAAAGTTAGTCAAGGATACCCAAAATCCATGACAGCATTACTGACTCAACTGAAGGAAGATTGCAAAGATGGATTCATGATTGAGACCAAATCCGGTCCTCAGTTGGTGTTCATCCGGTCCATCGCAGTCTTCATGGACGCAGATGGTATCAGGTTGACTCTCGGCAACAAGGGCTCGAGTGGGTTGAAACCTTGCTGGCTTTGCCAGAATGTGGTGGGACTGCAGCACTTCGACTTGGCAGAAACCGTTCATATTTCAAACCCAGACTTCACTTTGTATAAAGCGCATACATTGGAAAGTCTTCGTGGCATCCAAAGGTATTTGCAGAGTATTCTTTCAAGGTCCGCAAAAGAAAAAGCCGAAACTTTGCTGGGATGGAACACCGAAGCAATGGCGGAAACCTTTTTGCTACAACCGGCTTTGGCAGATTTGATCGGCGTAGACAGAGTCTTATATGACCCTATGCATTGCTTTGTAGCCAATGGTCTTTGCAATCAAGAATTGGGCTATTGGTGGGAGGCAGTGACTACGAAGACTCAAATCCGATTGCAGCAGCTGCGCCAGTATGCGACAACCTGCTGGCAATATGATGGATCTCCGTCAGAGGTCTGTGGTGCCTTCAGTGACAAGCATTGGATCAGAGGTAAAGATTATCGTGGAGACGCAGGTGACACTTTGGTGGTGCTACCAATTTGTGCCGCTTTCTGCTCTGAAGTCTTCCAAGATGAAGAAGAACTAAAAAAGGAAAATGACAGTTTGCTTGCACTGCATGCTGTCATCTGCAGTTGGCTGCAAAGCAAACGCGGCGGTCTGCTAGACATTGCGCGCTTGCAAAGTCAACAGACGAGGCATGCAACCAAGTTCATGGAATGCTATGGTCGAGAATGGGCGCGACCCAAGTTGCATTTCTCAAGGCACTTGCCGCAGCAGTTTGCCAAGGGATATATGATGGATGGCTTTCCAACAGAACGCAAGCACACGTTTTTCAAAACACGTGTGGCGCCAAATCGAAAGAATTTGGAAAACTTTAGCAAGTTTTGTCTCCTGGAACTAGGAGAGCAAGATCTGCGCATGAATCAGACAGAATCTCTTATCAAAACGAATTTCCTTGGAAAGACATCAAACTGCCGTCACCTTGCAGCTGCCTCTGAAGATCCTGATGCTATAGTGGCACCGCGCATCATGCACCAAGGTGTTACGTATGGCAAGGGTCAGTTCAAAATCCTGGCAACAAATCAGGCAGTTGAAATCCTGGGCGCTTGCAGAATTCATGCCACTTTTTTTTTACTCTGCGTGGAGTTAACATTTACTTCTGAAATTGCCGCCAATTTCACACGTTGGCAAAGGCCAACCCTTTCACATAAAATGTCCCTGCTGCACCTCGACGACGCGCAAAAGGCGCAAAGTGCACCCTATAGTCGAGTGGAATGTCACGGTGCCATTAAAGATATCTGGCTGCTTCTCGGATGAAAAAGAAGCGGATTGACGCGACCATTCGACATGGAAATGATCTTCTCACATCATAAAATTTTTACCCTGAACAGCAAAAAGCAGCTTCTCGGATAAAAAAGGGTCGGATTGGTGCAACTTTCACATGGAAATAATGATCTTTTCACGAAATAAAACATGTAAATGAAAGACAAAAAGCTGAAAAAATAAACTTATCCTCCAAAAATCAAAAATGTTGAAAAAACGAAGGCAAAAAGTTAAAAAAGTTATTTCCTACTTATAACCTAGTTAGCGAACCATAAAACTAAGCGCAAGATAAGTAACTTATAAGTAGCTAAGTGCCCGGCCGCCTTAAAGTATTCTTCGCGAACCTGTTCTTCGAACGCTACACTGTCTACGACAGCACATGTATGGTGGCACTAGCAAAGACAATTTTACAGATACTAGAGTTTTCTGCATGTTGCTCAGCTGTGCGAATACTGCCAAGAAAGTCGCTGGCTGAGACCAATCCGATGGATGGCTGCATTTTCCCCTATGAAACTAGGGGCGTGCCCCCCGTTTTTTGATTAATTTGGTTGGCGATGGCATGTTTGGAAGCCTGTCCCTGGCCTACAATGCTTCCCCCTGCCATCTCTGTCCCCCCCCCTTTTTTGGGGGGATCTGACTTCACAACATCATGGCTTTGT